GTTTTGATATACAGCAATCAGAATAATGGTGGTTAAAACAAAGTTGACTGGAAAGAAGTGTATTAAGGGTAAAATTTCTTCAAGTTATTGGCATTTCAAACTCTAGGAACCCTTTTTTCCCCCAGTGTCTTGTAGGATATAAGCACCTGGGTGTGGCACTTCGGCTACGGTGTAGGGGCCTTCCCAGTTTGGTGCTAACTTTCCAAATCGAGTTTCGAACCCCGTTAGACCAGCTTTCCTGAGAACAAGGTCGCCTACTTTGAATGGTCGGGGTCGAACTCGTTTGTTGTAAAAGTTTGCTACCTTCTGCTTGTAAACTATAGTTCGAAGTTGTGCTTCTTCTCTGACTTCGTCAAGCAGATCAAGGTTCTCCCGAAGCAGTTGTCCATTCTGCCATTCATTGAAATGGGTGACCCTGAAGCTTGGGACTCCTATCTCGATAGGAATGACTGCTTCGGTACCAAAGGCCAGATGATAGGGTGTTTCACCTATTTCAGGGGATTATAACTTTAGAATACGCTTTACATGTTATGCATATTTGCTTTAAGGTAAAACCGTAGCAGAAGAAGTAAAATAATATAAAATTAATCGAATAGGCCAGGTGTAGAGTAATACCTGTGGCAGTTCGACTCGTAGTTCTGTATGCCTAGAGGACGTTGTTGAGCTCGTCTGCCCATTTGGCCTTGTATTGTTCCAGCCTCGGCTTTATACCTTCTAAGATGCACTTGTTAACATATTCGACCATGCTGTTGGACTCCATATGGTAAACCGAGGTGAACTGCAGTTTAATCCCGTAACTGGAACAGAAATCTCGGAATGAGGAGCAATTGAACTGAGTTCCATTATTAGCTATAATTTGATTCGGGATCCCATATCTGCAAATAATCAAGCTGAAAACAAAGTCTTTGACCTTTTTGGAGGTGAGACTGGATAATGCCCGAGCTTCAACCCATTTTGTGAAATAATCTACACCAACAATGAGGTGGGTTACACCTCCTACCCCCTTCACAAATGGGCCTAAAAGGT